ATATTTCCTAACCCGCCGTTTCATTTCAGATCTGGAATGTCCCTCAAAGGCCCATGTGTTAAGGGCTTGCTCCTTTGCCAATAAGGGGCCGCTCTTAGATGAGATAGATTAATTGGGACTTTGGATCCCACTCCTTCCTGCGTTCCTCTCTACTTCCCAGCTGCCATGAAGTGAACAGGCTTCCTTTGTTATGTGCTCTTACTATAATATGCGTCTTCACCACAGGTCCCTAAGCAACTGGATCAACCGATATTATCAACCAACTATAGACTCCAAAACTGAGGCAAAAATCAATCTTTTCTCTTTAATATGATGATCGTCTTCAGATATTTTTTACATTAACAGAACTCTGACTATCATACCTGCCAATGAGAGCTATAGACCTGTGATGTTTAATACATATCATCCTTCCTAAGATCTCTTGAGCTGTGTTGCTAATGGTCCAACTTCCGGTCTTACCATTGGGATCCGGAGAGCATGTAGGTAGAAAGAATGGATCTCCCAATAGCAGCAAATGTTATAGATAAACTTGATAAGCCGGTGGATCCAGAAGACACCAGCAATGACCAGGATGGTGATGAGAGAGCCATTTTCCTGAATCCTGGCATGGAAAAAGAAGGGGATAAAGTAGGGTCCTTGAGGATGGAATCTTAGCAATATGTTCTGGAGTGTGAGTTGCTGCTTCATACCCCACTCTCCTCTCTACTCATGAGCAGTGTCTCAGGACCATCTTTACCTGGCACTACAGACTTGGGCAGGCAAAAAGGCATCTGGCAGAGTGACCTTGACAGGCTCAGTAGGATGGAGACTGTGGTTCACCATCTTGTTGGCAAATAGGATGTCATAGTCCACACAGCTAACCAGGAAGGTGGTGAAGGCAACCACAAAGAGGAACTGCCTGGGGAGTTGAAAAGAAGGGGTGCAGGCCACGAGTCAGAGAGGTGCTGGTGAAATAAAGTAGAGTGAGCAAAGAGGCTGGAGACCGCTGAACAAGAGGAAATTAAAGGGGCTGGGGTGTTCCTAATGGCCTCTGCTACTGCTTAATCTCACAAGACCTTAAGGGCACAAATTGCTCCTAGGTTCAGGTGCTGCAGAAGCAGCCTGCTTCATCATGATAAGCTGCCACAACCACTGGATTTAATTTTCAGAGGTTTGATGATTATGGTCTCTGGTCTTTGACTGGGGAGCCAACTCATGTCAACAGGAATGACACAGGTACCTTTTTCTACTGCTCAATAGCCCAAACTTTTAGCATTCTTTTGTTTGTTTGGTTAGTTGGTTTTGTTTTTCCACACAGCGTTTCTCTGTGTATCTCTGGCTATCCTGAAATTCTCTTGGACTACACAGGCCTTGAACTCATACTAGGAACTCAAGGAGATGCTTGCCTCTACTTCCTGAGCTGGGATTAAAGGCCTGCACCAGCACACCCAGCCATAAACTCCTTTCTTATCATCAAGAACTCCTTTCCTGCTTCGTGTGGGGGCTCACGCCTTTAATTCCAGCACTCAGGCAGGTGAATGTCTTTGAGTTTGAGGTCATCCTGATCTACAAGGTAATTCTAAGACAGTCAGGGCTACAGGGAAAAACCCTGTCTCAAAAACCCAAACAAAAATAAAAACAAACAAAACAATGAAACAACAAAAACAAACAAACAAACCCATCCCTTTCTAAACCATCCCCTCTAGCAACACCAGATTGTTTCTCTCCACTCCCACAGGAGGGCTAAAGTGCTGTCAGGCAGAATACAGGCTCCAAGACCTCCTGACTGAACCATATATATCCTCCTATAGCCTTGGTGAAGTGACTAAGTTGTAGGTTCTTGCTATGAAAAAGATAGGACTTAGCCGGGCGGTGGTGGTGCATGCCTTTAATCCCAGCACTTGGGTGGATTTCTGAGTTCGAGGCTAGCCTGGTCTACAGAGTGAGTTCCAGGACAGCCAGAGCCACACAGAGAAACCCTGTCTCAAAAAAAAAAAAAAGAAAAAGAAAAAGATAGGACTTAGAAAGCTCTTCTTACAAGAGATGAGGCTATAGGTTTAAATGTTATACCTGATCCTGAGATATAAAGGTTTGTAGAGTTTGGGGCCTAGGATTGTGTTGCACTGGCAGATGTAGCCAGGCATGAGCAAAAGGGAAGACCAGAATAAGTATTCTTTTGCCACAGCACATATCCCTTTGTATACTTACATGAGTTCAAAAATCTCTCCAATGAGCATACATGTGAAGCCATTCTTCTGATGTAGATTATAAACGTGTAAGTGTTAAGAAAAAGTGGCCAGTAAGCAAAGACACTTAAGAAATGCAGACTTTGATGTCCACACACTTCCAGCTGAAGTCCTGGCTCTATAACTTTCTGAGTGTGATCTGTAACAGGTCACTTCCCCGAGCTTTGTCCACGGTGGCAAATGATAATAGCCATAGCTACCTTTTAGGGTTATTGGGTCTAGGAAAATGCATTCAAAGTATTTAATACCGAAATGACAGAGTCAAAAGACATTATTACCCTTAACAACTAACACCCTTAGGAGAGCTCTTCATAAAGTAACACAAGGACATAGAGCTCCCAGCAAATACAAGGCATCATTATTTTTTTTTTGTTTTTGTTTTTTTTTTTGTTTTTTTTTTTTTTTTTGGTTTTTCGAGACAGGGTTTCTCTGTGTAGCCCTGGCTGTCCTGGAACTCACTCTGTAGACCAGGCTGGCCTCGAACTCAGAAATCCGCCTGCCTCTGCCTCCCAAGTGCTAGGATTAAAGGCGTGCGCCACCAACGCCCGGCAGGCATCATTATTTTTAACAATCGTTATTTCAATATGAGTTTCATTTCCCCTTCCGTGAACTGGAGTGAAACTCATCCCCATTTCCCATCAGAGCCCTCGCTCAGAGAAAGGCTAGAAGGTGGAAGAGCTCCAACGGAGAGACACACAAGAGACACAAAGGATATTCGAGAGAAGAAGAGGTCAAGGTTTTCAATGTGGTGCCAAGGTGCTGTGGACACAGGAGCAGAGATGTCAGATCTCTGAAGTAGCTACACCCCCCTCCCGCAGTACCCCTCCCCACTTCCCCACTCGCTGCCTTGCTCCCTCAGGGTTCCTCCAGCAACTTCCACCCATGCCCCTACTCTGGCTGTCATGTCCCAACTCACATTTGCTCCCCTCAGCCACATGCACCAACAGGTCCTCTTCTCCTGGGGGTGAATCGCTATAGGAGGCCTCTAGGCGCTGGTATTCAGTGTCAAACTGTGCCATCACCGCAGCCCCCTGTCCACCTTGTTAACCTGCCAGTGAATAGAACCCAGATCAGATCCAGGCACTGTCTACTTGCTGTCCTGCTCACCAGGCCAGAAGGAATAATAAAGAATACTTGGGATTTATTTTTACTACTAACCTCCTTGGCTCAGAAGCAGTACAAGAAAGGATAATAGCCCAAGAAGAACAGCTAAGCTTGGGTCTTAAGGGGGCCTTCACTCTGGTCATCATTCCCAGAACCTTCACTGGGTAGCTACTGTGCCAGAATCTGCCCCTTTGGTATGGGTAAGTTGTTTCATTTTCTGTCCAGTGGTGAGAAAGTTTCCTCCCCTGCCCCTCCTGGAAACCCTGGTCTCTCTAGAGACTAACAGTTTGGAAGCATTTTTGTAAACAAATGTTTAAGATAAGCACATGGCCCTACCAGCTCCATGGACAGTTTCTGCTCCACGTCAGTCCTGGGTGCCCTGGTTGGACAGCTGCTGGAGGAAAAGGTGTCAGGCCTCAAAGAATGAGGAATTGGGACAGAAAAAAAATCCAACCCTCCCACCCACCCAAGCCCCACTAAGAGGAGGGCAGAGAGATGGGGAAGAGACACCATTCCAGTTGTGTCAGATGTCTTCTAATGTTCTATGTAGGACCATTCATCTACTTTGAGGATACCCAGGAGAAATTAAACTCTCTGACCCTGTGGAGAGTGAGTCAGTACAGGTCAGAATCCACACAGCCCTTTGGGACTGTTTTATGTTTGATCTACCTCAACTTCAGAAATCAGACATGCTTTTTGGGGTCCAGAAAACCCCAAATGAGAGTCTTCAAGATTTTTCTAGACAATCCCTTCTGCTTCCCTAGCATCAGAGACTTAGGCAGGCATGGCTTCTGGATCGGAATTTTCCAGTCCATGTAGACACCGGATTCTGCTTGAGTAAGTGTGTTCCCTGGGTGTCTAGTGCCAGGTGGGGTCAAGGTGGTATGGTATACTCTCAATCAGTGAAGACTCTGGGGATGGTGGATCTTGGTCCGACCTGGTCCCAGAGGAAGTCCCTTGGTTAGTAAGAGGCGTGTGCCTCAGGAAACACACTCACCTGGTCAGTGTAGACCCAGGGCCCATGGATCTCCCCAGGAAGGGCCTGTGCTCAGGGGTGTCTGTGGATGGCGGAGGGGTCGAGCCAGATCTACAGCTGATATCCCTGGTGGGCTGGGATGCCTCCCCAATCCCAGCCACCTAGACCTGAGCACAGGGCGCTCCAGGGTCGCCCGGCCCCAGGCCGGGGGCTAGGCTCCCAACAGCGGACAACCCCGCGCGCGGCCCCGGCGCACGCGCGCTCCCTTGGCCGCGCGCGCCCTCTATCAAAACATTCTGGCTGCGCGCCCCCGGCCCGCCCGCCGCTCCCCTGCCCCCGTTACGCATCTCGAGCTCACTTGGGGTTCTGTGGGCACCCCTGGCCAGCTTGGGCCTGGGTCTGGAGATTCCAGTTACCAGCCTCGCGTGTCACCGCAGGAACCGCGACCCGGGCGATTCCAGAAGCCGGGTCTGTTCTGCTGGGCTCAGCCAGACCCGGAGCTCTAGGCCCTCCGTCTGTCATTCACTGTCACCCGCAGCCAGTCTGGCCAATGAAAAAAGTGGGTGGAGACATGATGGCCAATTCTTAGCCCAGGGGGCAGGACGAAAGATTGGAGGCGGGTCTTGGAGAGCAGAGGACCAATAGTGTGCTCTACGTGGTGAGGGGCTGGGCTACGGGAGCGGCAGTGTGTCCCTTTCGCCTTTCCGTAGCGGCCGGATTGTTGTGGTGTTGCAGAAATCCAGTTTTCGAACGGTGGACTTACGTGTGGCTCGGCTCTTGGGACATTAGGGAAGGCTTCTGAGGGCGGGTCGAGTGACGAGGCTCGGTGACGGTGCTAGTAGATCGGTTGGGTAGCCTCTGACTGGTAAATCCTGGACTCCACTTGGGTCTGTGTGCTCTCTATTTCGCTCCTGAAGATCCTCACGTATTTACCGCAAAACTGATTTGCGGTAGCGGGTGAAAGCAGAGGGGCATTTCTGCGTGGGGATGGCCAAGCCGGCTAACGATGCGGTAGTAGAATCTCGCTCTGGAGGGCTGTTTCTACCCTCCATTTCTTCAGCCATGTCGCCAGCTCCACGTGCAGCCCCAGCCCCTGCCTCGGTTTCCCTGTTGGCCCTCAGCAGGGAAGCTCCACTCGTTCGGGGCCTGAGCCTGGTGAGCCAAGCTCCTGGGGAGGCTCTGGCCTGGGCGCCGCGTACTTCCTGTCCAGGTATCCGGGATGCTTTGGGGTGGACCTATGAGGAACGTCACAGAGTTCCGTGGAGCCTAATAACACGTGATTTCCCAGCTTAGGAATCCACACTGATTCTTTCTGTTGTCCCAATTTTTCTTTCTCCAATATATTTCAGCTTTGGGTTGTTTATACAGGTCTGGCCCATGAACTGTCACCATAGAAGTTTCTAGCTGTTGTTTATCTCAGTTACATTAATACCACTGGTATTAATTAAAGTACCATTAATACTTTTAAAACACCGTTCCTAGGTCTGTTTCAAATCGAAGTGGACTCTAGTCAGACATATTCCCTTTTGCTGAATACAGAATAATTTACTGATTTTGTACGCTATTTTGTCTTTGGCTGTGTTTTCTTGCACTTTTCTTAGATTGTCCACTGTAACTGGGACTATAGGATGTAAATTGCCCTTTAGGAACTGGTTTTATATGGTTAAAAGAAATTTTAATCTGGGAGTTGTGGCACCTACCTGTAATCCCAGCACTTAGGAATCTGAGGCAAGGAGAAGTGGGACTTTAAGAACAACCTAGACTGTACAGTGAGACCTTGTCTGGAGGAAAAGAAGAAAAAAAGAAAAAATGTTTTAGATGCTAGAGAATGTAGCTCGTTAGTAGATCTGGGTTCCATCCCCAGTACCGCAGAAGTATTTTAGGGCTTACTAGGAAGGGAGCTGAAATCCAGTTACCTTTCAGACGCCATGATGTAAGGTTCTTCTAGAGTTAGCCTTTACTGTGTATCTGAAGATTTGTAAAACATTGATTCAGGAAGCATTTTCCTGATTGATGGCTCCGTTTTGATAATATAACCTTGTTAGAAGGTTCTTCAGATGTGTTGGGTAGCACTTGATAGACTGAAAAAGGAATGGGGGTGGGATGCAGTTCAGTGGTAGAGAACACATGTGAGATCTTAAAGCCTCAACACCAGAAGAAGATTGAACCTTAACCATTTGTTTTCTACAAGAATTCCCTAAACAATCCACTTTGATAATTGAAATGTAGTATTTAAGTGTACATGTGTCTTTTCTAGTGTATTTATTGTACAAAAGTTACTGTATCATTTATTTCATGATTGCCCGATTGTAAATTCTTGGAAAGCAAGGTCATGCCATGTTTTTCTTCTGTATTATCAGGTATTTAATATAGTCCTGGGTACTGTAGGTTCACTGTAGATTGGCTATAATCCCTTTCTACTTCCAATTACCCTTTTCTTCTTTCAGGAGAGAACACAAGTTCAGGAAAAAAAGTATCTCCATGTTCTCTGGATATTTCAGATAAATTATTTTGTTCAGCCTGTGACCAGATCTTCCAGAATCACCAGGAACAGGTAAAAGGCCAGAGTATAGAATTAGATGTTAGAAGCAGAAGTATAATTCTGGGTAGAAGGAGGTGAGCATGGATTTACCTTGTTAATAAAGGTCCATACTTTGTCTATGAACTTAGTGTTAACCAGGTTATATTTCCTATAGGTCTGTGACTGGCTTTTTCTATTGTACACAGCCAAGGTGTAACACATTTCCACTCTCTGCCTCCCTCTTTTCCTTCATCCCAGAGAGAACATTATAAGCTTGATTGGCATCGCTTTAACTTAAAACAACGTCTCAAGAACAAGCCTCTCCTGTCTGCTTCAGACTTTGAAAAGCAAAGCTCCACAGGTGATCTTGTTATTGGAAAGCCGGTATGGGAGCAGGAGGTGAGGCTGGGAAAGACCCCATGAGGTTCGAAGAAAGGTCAAGGGTGGAGTGTCAAACTTGTATGTCCCATATTTGTCTTCAGGAGATCTTTCCAGCATCTCGGGATCAGAAGACTCAGACTCAACTAGTGAAGAAGACTTGCTAACACTGGATGAGGGGAAGGCTGAATCTGAGAAACCTAACCGACCCACCAGATTCTACCCACACCGGGTCCTCTTCAGAAACGCCCAGAGCCAGTTTCTTTATGCCTATCGTTGTGTTCTAGGCCCTCACCAGGCAAGTAACAGTACAGGTTGTGTGATCAGTCCCAGCTTTTGTGTACTACGTTTTCTACAGCCAATGTATGTCTTATTTTCTTCTTTCCTTTTGGGTAAGGCTATATCATTCCTGACAGCATAATCTTGAGTTGAAATTGGCCAGAATCTTGAAAGAGTCAAGTGTAATAGGATTAAGTCTAAATTGTGATGATTATATCATTCCCGTCTTCCACCACTACCTCTTGAAGCTTCAGATATCCTTTGTGAGATGGAAATGAGGCCAAGATGGTTGTAATAAGTGAGATAATGCAGTATAACACTTGGTCTCTTGTTTTTAATGCATGCAGCATGTGGAATGTTTGTTGATGTGTCATCTAGATTCCCCCAGAAAAGGCAGAATTGCTGCTACAAAACCTTCAAAATGGAGGTCCCAGACACTACGTGGTGCTCATGGCTGCAGCTGGACATTTTGCTGGTGCCATTTTTCAAGGGTGAGAGGGTACTTACTGCATGGGGTAAGGATGGACCCCACTAACCTGGGAGTACTGTCTGGTCTCCAGTACTGAGTCTGTGCCATCTACAGAAAAGAAGTGGTGGCACACAAAACTTTTCACCGTTACACTGTGCGGGCCAAGCGGGGCACAGCCCAGGGGCTTCAGGATGCCCAGGGTAGGGCATCCCGCTCTGCTGGAGCCAACCTGAGGCGTTACAACGAAGCCATGCTCTATAAGGTGAGTTAGGCCTCACAGATATGGTAGTCCACTGATCTCACGTTTTTCTAGTTTTCTGGGTGGACAATAGAATAGAAATTTCCAGAAACATTATTTCATTCTTTCTTTCTATCTTCCTCTCCCTTCATATGATTGTAGGGCCATTGTTTGATTTGGAGAATTTTTTAAAGCAGCAGATGAAGCTATGCTAAGTGGAGTTACTCTCTTTAGGATGTTCGAGACCTGCTGGCAGGGCCAACCTGGTCCAAAGCACTAGGGGAGGCAGAAACAATACTGATCCGTGCCCCACGCTCTGGCCGGTCCTTGTTCTTTGGAGGCCAAGGGGCACCCCTACAAAGGGATGATTCCCGACTTTGGGATATCCCTCTTACCACCCGCAGACCCACTTTTGGAGAGCTTCAGCGTGTACTCCATAAGCTGACCACCTTGCAGGTGTATGGTGAGCTACTCCAGATCTTGGGACCTCATACACAGACCTGTGTATCCATGGGGTTTTCTAGCTTGTGGACTGTAGCCCAATTGACCTGAGTTAGTTTCTCCACACCTAAAACTGAGAAAGTTTTTTTTTTTTTTTTTGTTTTATGGCAGATGAAGACCCTCGAGAAATGGTCAGATTTCACTCTCCTGAGACACACTGGAAACCAGTGAGAGAAGAGAGGAAAAAGGATACTGAGAAAAAAAAAACAAAGGTCCCCAGTGATGCAAATAAGGCACTTGGGCAGGATGAAGACCCACTCAAACAAGGTTTGAGCACCATGTGGCAGTTGTAAACTGACTCATCTAAAGGTTGCTAGGTGACCCCTTAAACTGTACCCACAGCCATCCATCCACTCACCCCTAGGAGCATCTCTTTATAAAAATAAGGTGTGTTGTGAAAAGCAGACATGGTTTTCTTTTGTTGTTTTGAGAGTGTCTCACTTCATCCCAGGCTGGTCTAGAACTCACTGTATAGCACCCACACTGGCCTTGAAAAATCATGGCGATCTTCCTGCCTCAGCCACCCAAATGCTGGGATTACATATGAGCCACCACACCAAGCTGCTTTTTTATTGAGGCAGGGTTTTTGTTGTCTAGCCCAGGCTGGCCTGGAGCTTTCTGTAACCCAAGTTGATCTTAAACTCACTGTCCTTTTGCCTCTAGTTTCCCAATGCTTCTGGGATTGCAGTCCCACATCTGTCAAATGAGACGTGTTTAGTGACCTCCAAATCTTAGACTGTTCATAGATACATTCTTAGTACTCAGCATGGAGGGAACGTGCTGTTTGATTGGATATGTGCTTTCCTCTACATTTTGGGTTTTTTTTTTTAATTGTTTTTGACTTTTTTTTGTTGTTGTGGTGGTGGTGGTGGTGGTCTTGGTATTTGTTTTTAAGACAAGGTCTCACTATATAGCTCTGGCTGTCCTGGAATTCAGCCAGATAAATCAGGCTGGCCTTGATCTCATAAGGATCCACCTGCCTCTGCCTCCTGAGGGCTGGAATTAAAGGTGTGTACCACCATGCTGGTGCTTACTTTGTACTGTCCTGTTCATTGGGAGAGTCCAAGGACAGAATAAAAACACTTCATTTCAGGATGATCTGGAGTATCTTTTTATAAATGTAAACCCATCTGAGGAAGCCCACATCTTTCTACCCTCTCCCTATTCCTTAGACAGATCTAAGGTCGTATCTTTTTTAGGTTCAGAGTCTCAGGAACAAGATGGCTCCGAAGTAGAGTTGGAGCTAGTAGAATTGACACTTGGGACCCTGGATCTTCGTGAATTTGAAGTATTGCCCAAGCAGAGGAGGAGGAGGAAGAAGAAGAAGGAGAGAAGTCAAGAGCTGCAGTATGGGGTACATGGGCCTCTTCTTCAGCAACGTCAAGATGAGCCATTCTCACAGCCAACTCAAGTGCTTGCAACCCCACTGGACACTTCAGTTGATGAGGCCAAAGCCCCTGGCCAACCAGAGCTCTGGGATATGCTTCTAGCTGCTTGTCGTGCTGGAGAAGTTGAGGTGCTAAAGCTGCAGCTAGCCACTGGGCCTGTAGACCCTGCAGTTATGTCCCTACTCAATGCCCCTTTGGGCTCTGGTGGCTTTACTCTCCTGCATGCAGCAGCTGCAGCTGGAAGAGCCTTAGTAGTTCGTTTGCTGTTGGAGGCAGGTGCTGACCCCACTGTGCAGTGAGTACCTCCTTCCTGACCTCGTTTAGGTATAGAGAGCATTACGTGGTAGCTCATGTTGGCACTTGATACTATTTCCTTGGGTGATGCCAGAAAAAGCAGGAGGCAAGTTGAACTTGGTTTTGGGTTTTTGTCCTTAGGGACTCTAGAGCTCGGCCACCTTATACTGTAGCAGCTGACAAATCAACGCGTAATGAATTCCGGAGGTTCATGGAGAAGAATCTTGATGCCTATGATTACAACAAGGCTCGGGTGAGCTGGAAAAGGAGCTACAGAGTGGAGGGTATCAGAGATCCTCATCAGGTCCTTTCTACTTCCTTGTAGTTTTATAATATCTTTGGGAAATCTTCCAGGTGCCAGGGCCATTGAGTCAAGAAATGGAAGCCCGGCAGGCTACAAGGAAAAAGGAGCAAAAGGCAGCTCGACGCCAACGGGAGCAGCAGCAGAGGGAGCAGAGGGAACAGAAAGAAAAGGAGCAAGAGGAGCAAAGGCGGTTTGCTGCCCTCAGTGACCGAGAGAAGGTGAGATGATACAGTCTTGCACTGCCAAGATTCTATAAGCACCTACCTCCCCTCCCCAGACAGCCATTATTTCCTGAGCACACTGTTCATCTCTGGGGCTTTTGTCTGTAACATCTTTTCTGTTTTGCAGAGAGCTCTAGCTGCAGAGCGTCGACTTGCTGCCCAGCTGGGAGCCCCTAGCCCTCCAGTTCCTGACTCAACAGTTGTCAATGCTGGGTACGAGGGCCAGGGGATGAGTTAAAGGGTGGGCTCCCATGTTACAGGTACCATCTGGGGTAAGGGGAATGAGTGTTTTCATGGTGTTCAGAAGGGTGGCAGAGGGGACTTGAGATTCCCTGGGACCTTTAAGGACTGGGCAACGCTTAGATGGGAAAGTTTGTGGGGTACCTGTCCAATCATTTTTCTTCCTTTGGTTCAGACGCTGCTGGAGTTGTGGAGTTTCCCTCCAAGGCCTCGTTCCCTTTCACTACCTTGACTTCTCTTTCTGCTCCACGCGTTGCCTTCAAGACCATCGCAGTCAGGCAGGGAGACCTTCATCTTGATTTCTTACAGCCACCTGGGGCCAACTCTGGGTCCCAAGAGGACACATCCAGACCTAGAGCTCTCTTCCTCCTCATGAAGCTTGATATTATTTGGAAGATGGGCACTGAAGGACACTCAGGAACCAGGGCAAAGACAGGGCCACGGAGGTGTGTGGAGCCAGTACTGTCTTTGGAATTTTAATCACAATAAAATTTGGCAAGAAAACTGTGTATACTTACACTCAGGGGGATTGTAGCCTTTGATTCTTTATGGCCACTGTGGCCATCACCAAAGGATCCTACCCTGTGTCCCAGACTCCAGGGTCATCTTTCTTTCAGTGCCCACTTAACTCCATTGGTTCATAGGAACCTTGTGCTTCTGAGAGAATATAGTTATACCCCCAGTGCAAAGTGCTATTGAGGATAGGCTTATCCAAAAATTGGATTTTGGTGTCATGAGGCACATTTTCTAGCTCCAGCAATGTGATTTTGTTGATTGATCTACCAAACAGCAGAAGTCTTGGCACGTACAGGGTTTGTTGTGGACCCCGCATTGTCCAGTACCGGCCCAAGTTAAACCCATTGATCCATACTTGGCCCTGGGGGAAGGGATGGAGTGGAAAAACAAAGGGTCAGCACTCCACAGTGGAGTCATCCCCTTTCAGCTTTCTAATCAGATAGTAATTTGTATTTCCAGTTTAGTTTGCTTGTAATGTGCCCCCCACAATTCCTTCTGCCACCATTAGCAATACCTTGGTCCATCCAGGTAGATAGAGAAATGTGTCCCCAAGTGAACCTAAAACTGGAAACTTTGCGGAATAGAAGGCAGGGGCAGAGGGAGCTTGAGGCTGGGCTCTTTTCATCAGCTGCAGGGGGAACCACCATTTTACAAGCTTATCCACCTTGAGAGGGAACATCATCCACTCAGTGAGGATTGTCTGCCCCAGAAGTGGTGGTTCTAACAGGCCCTGTGGGGAAGCAAGTGGGAAGTCACTCACTGAGTCAGGGCCCACACTGTCCCCATTAAGCCCTGGAATGTAACTGGCCATGTCCACATCCTCAAGAAACAGTCCTCTGCCTACATTTAAAGGCAGAGTCCTTCCATTAGGCCCTGTTCCCCAAGAGAGGTGGTTAAGAAGGGAAGAAGAGACAAACCCACCTTGAAGTCACTGTGGTTAGACCCAAAACTGAGCCTCCCCATATTCTCTAGCAATATATCCAGCCTGGTCCCTACTTTCCCAGTCAAATACAGTTCTTGTTTCAAACTCCGCTCCAGAACGCCCTTCAATACCTGTGGATAAGAGATGGGCCCTGGTAAAAGAAGGGCCCAGTGTTTAGTTCTTGGCTACTACAGAGTGAGTCACATTAGAACACTTTATTTGGAGGACAAGGAGGATGGAATCACCTTGTTGGTTGTCTACTGTTCTTCTGATACTCTGCTTTTTTTTGTGACTGGGTCTCTATGTCCAGACTGTGAAAACTCACTATACAGTCCAGGCTTGTGATCTCCTTGCTTCAGACTACTTAGTGTTGAGAATGCAGGTATGCTCCACCATGTCCCCAGTTAATAAACCTCCCTTAATCACATCCTCTCTACATCCCAGGTTATAACCGGGGCAGACCGATGGGGAAGGGATGCGGATGGGGAAACTTTAAAGCCACAGGGTGTTTAGGCAAGGGATGAGATTGAAAGCATAACAGTTGGGAATTAGGTTCTTACCCCATCTACCATCACATAGGCACGGTCATGAATTCCATTATTTGGCACCCAGAATGGTGTTGGTTCTAAAACAGTGTAAGTCAGATAGGTCCGGTACAACATAAAGCCATGGTCCTAGATACAGAAGGATGAGGACTTCGGATGAAATGGTGATAAGGAGCACTGTAAGGAAGATTAGTAGCCAAAGGGACTTTTGGCTGTAGCTGGCTGTTAAAGGAGCCTACCATTCCCATCAGATAGGAGTTTATACTTACCAGTTTGACCGCCTCAAAGGTCAATGGCAAAACTGAATGGATGGGGCCTTGGGGGCAGAGAAAGTCTAGGAAAGACAGCAAATTCCCATCCTGTGAGGACAAAGGGCAACCGAACTGTTAAACTTCTGAATTGAGGGCTGTTCAAGGTAACTGATTCAGAAAACAACAGCATAAAATCAGAAAAGACAGGGAGAAACTTACCAGGCTCATAGTGAAAGGTCCAAGCTCCATCTTGGGGCTGGGGGGAGGTAAAGGTCCCAAGGGAATTTCCTGGAACTGAGCCCAAATTCTCTCAGTAGTCATAGGAAAACCAAAACAATCCAAGGCTCTAAAAGGAGGTTCTTGACCTGGAACCTAGGGATGGGCTGCAGGGAGCCATGAAGACCCTATCATTTTTCACAGGTGGAGTTCCCCAGATGGTTCCCTATGAGTGGGAACTGCTTCATGGAAGCTAAGCTCTGTTCCCAGACAAACACCACCAGTTTGTAGGGCTCCTTTACAATATGGGCACTCTCCCTTCTCCCCAAGTAATAAAAGGGCACCTTGCTGATGACATCTCGAATTGCAAAAAGCTTAGGTGTAGGGTCTCCTGCTTCAGATATGGGTGCATCATAGTCGTAGCTGGTAGTAATTGGAAGGAAACGTCCCTTCTCGTCAGCACCTGGGTTAAAGTAATTTAATTAATTCATCATCATCTTAGGTGATAGGCACTAAGCACTGAGCCTTGTGCAGAAAATCTTGCCATTAGAGGAAAAAGTGGTTGTCATACACAACTTCTACATATCCTAATCCATCCATCCAGGTCTGCTTCCTTGTCTCCTCCCTGCTTCCACCAAGGGGTGACACTTACCATTCCAGTATCCAAAGTTGGTACCTCCATGGAACATATACCTAAAGTGAGAGGCAGTGGGGAGAAAGAGCAAAATCTGACCTATGGAATCTCAACTTTAAACCCCAGCTCCCAGGAACATATTGTATCTCCAGTTACATGTTCACACTGGCTCCCAACTTGAGCATTTTTTCTAGTCCTTGGGCTACGGCTGGACTGAACCGTGTGGAGTGATTTTGGCCCCAGTAATCCAGCCAGCCTGTATAGTACTCAGAGTTCACCTAGAGGGAGAAGTGAAGGGAGCCATAGTGAGGAGGGAACAAGCTGGGCCCTTCAGACAGATTATTTTTCTCACTCCCCTTCCTGTGGCCTCTCACCAATGGCCCATGAGGTTCATACTCCCGGAGCAGGGAAAAGATTCTGGTCACGTTGTCAGCTGCAAAGAGGAAAAAAAAGTGTTGAAACAAACAATATGAGAGAGGAGGTGCCTGTGTCCCAGACTCCACTCCCAACCCTTGTTTAAAAGACCTGGGCCAAAATCTACAGTGGTATAGAGTCCCTGAAGGGAGCCACATCTGAGTCCTTGAGGCCCATCTGTGGTGAAGAGTAAGATCTTATCTCCTAGTAATGCACGGAAGAGGCCAGCCAGGTGTCTCATATACTTGAAGTCACAGGCCTTGTAGCTACCGTATTCATTCTCCACCTGCCAGGGACAAGGAAAAGAGGAGCCCAGCTATGAGACAGACAAGGTTAGGAACAGTGTGTACCTATGTCTTGTGACCAACCCACTTCCCACTCATACCTGAATGCTAATGATGTTGCCCCCATTGTGGTAGAGAAATGGATATATCTTTGGCAGCAAGACCTTGAACCAGGAGTCCACAGCTTCAAGGAAGGCTAAAGGAAGGAGCAGTGTGCTCTGCTTATTAGGAGCCACAACTTTCAAGGTCTCACCCTCCTGCCTCCCGCAGCAACCTCAGTGCTAAGTCTGGACTGTAGCATCCTTTTCCTGGCTCACAACTAAATTGAGAGAGCAATGAGTCTAAAATTTTTAATTTTATTTATTTATTAATTAATTTATTTATTTATATGTGTATGAGTATTTTTGCCTGCATGTATGTCTTTGTGATTGATGACTGCAGAGGAGGCCAGAAGATGGGGTTGGATCATCTGGAACTAGAGTTACAGTAATGAACCACCACATGGGTGCTAGAAATCAAACCTGGGTCCTCTGTAAGAGCAGTCAATGCTCTGATGTGCTGAGCCATCACTCCAGTCTCAGGAGCAGTGACTCTCAGCACAGGAAACAGCAGAGTAGAGTTTCCTACTCTACTCCATCTATGAAAAAGTCTAAACACATTATATGGAGTTATTATACAAATTTAGCAGGAAAGTAGTGTTTGACCTGTATAGAATCAGTCCATGCAATTTTATGCCTTAAATTCTCAACTCCTGTTTATTACTTTTAGAATTCCCTCAGTGACGTCCTGCATGTTATGTCCTCTGCCTGGCACTTTTCCTCCCGTCCTCCGTTCTCTAGTTGATGGTAACTTATGCCTCAATTGTTTATGCTCAGGCTTTTAAATTAAATGTATTTATTTATCTATACATGCATACTATTAAGATGTGTATGCCAGCCAAGGGATGGTTTGGACCAACAGATAGCAGTGGGGATAACCAGAATAATTCAATTCAATGTTGTTGAGAGTAACACTGGTGTGTGTATGTGAATAAATGTATGTTCCATGGCACATGTGTGAATGACAATCTTTAGGAGTCATTGTCTCCTTCCACCATCTGGGTCTCAAACAACGCATTCAGGTCACCAGGTATGGTGACAGACATTTTCTCTCATGCCTAGACTCCTTTTTTTTTTTTTTTCAAACAAGGTTTTCCTATGAAGCCTGACTATGTAGGAACTTACTATGTCAATCAGACTATCCCTGAACTCAGAGACCTGCCTGCCTCAACCTCCTAGGGCTAGGATTAAAGGCTTGCATATGACTAAATCTTTATCTTTGCTGTTAACTTTCTCCAGAAAGCCCCTCCTAGCACAGGAAGAATAGGAATTCAAAGCAACAAGGAATTCTAATAGCAACAAGGTTGGGCCACAGGCCAGCCTGAACTACCGGAGAATCTGTCTCAAATAAACAAACAAACAGACAAATAAACCTCTACTGTCCCCAGATAAGAATGGATCCTTTTGTTAAGGTCTCACTTCATGTGGGCTCTTTTAAGAACTTTACAAATAGCCAGGCAGTGGTGGCACACACCTTTAATCCCAGCACTTGGGAGGCAGAGGCAGGTGGATTTCTTAGTTTGAGGCCAGCCTGGTCTACAGAGTGAGTTCCAGGACAGCCAGGACTATACAGAGAAACCCTGTCTCGAAAAACAAACAAACAAACAAACAAACAAAAAAAACTTTACAAATAGCACTT